AAAGTGAATCTTGGTAGGCAGAACTTCCTTCATATTTAAATCATTCAGATTCCGGAAATAATGTAACGTTGTTGTACAATGTTTCTTCACCCCAGAAAGAGTTTAAGAAAGTGTGTTCTATCAGACCATGGACCTTGGGGGGTGAGGGGGGAGTTTAAATTTACATACCTTAACTGGATTTGTATACATCAGTGACCAAAGGAATTCCTATGAGTAGACAAAAATCAAGTGCAAAGTTGACTACTGAACCCATTATGTACCAGTGGGTGTGACTGATTTTTCTGTTGGCTTTAAGAAGGTCCTGCTGTTCTCTCTGAGTTTGTGCACATGTATTTATACACACAAACTTAGAAACAACAGAAACTTCTCACAGTTCTGTAGGTTACAAAGTACAAGATCAAGGTGTGTCTGGTGAGGGCCTGCTTCCTGGTTCAAGTTGTCTTTTCACTATGTCCTCAGGTAGTTGGAGGGAAAAGGCATCTCTAGGGCTACTTTTACAATGTCGCCTATATTTTTGAACTGACTTGAAATATTGACCCATTTTTTATTTTTATTTATTTATTTATCTTGTGGAGAAAAAAATTTATTTACAATCTAGGGTTGTTGAATTGACCCATTTTTTAAAAACTAGCAATAATGAGCCTGGCTGGCTCAGTCAGTAGACCATGTGACTCTTGATCTAGGGCTCATGAGTTTGAGCCCCATCTTGGGCGTAGAGATTACTTTAAAAAAAAAAAAAAATCTTTGGGGCACCTGGCTGGCTCAGTTGGTGGAGCATTCAACTCTTGATCTCAGGGTCATGAGTTCAAGGCCCACATTTGGTGTGGAGCCTACTTAAAAAAAGTAAAATAAAAAATAAAACATAAAAACTAACAATAACATAAAGAGCCTTTTTCATGTATTGCCATCAACCTCTAAATGTTGAGGCTTTTAAGCATATCTGCTGAAATATGTTACCATGTTTTAAGTGAAGGGCATTTTATCAATATTCACATGGAGTTAATGAGAAACTTCAAGGCATTGGATAAGGGATCTGAATTTAAGGCTAATGAGGCTCTTCAATCTGATCCCTTACACTGAAGTTCAGTTTTGTTGGCAGTACAAGTCCTGTGGCCCTGAGGAAGCCCCCCCAAAAAATAAAAACAACTAACTGATTTAATCCAAAATTCTATGCCTGCTCTAGGATCTTCATCACCTATTCTAGTTGCCAAGGAACTTGGTAGACAACAAATACTGTTTATGGTGAAGTGGCTTGAAAGCCACTAATTGATTCTGTGTATTAGAAGCCTCAGTTCCTCACAGAATGAAACCTTAGGTTTGGGGAAAGTGGGTGATTGGTGGAGAGGAGTGGAAAATACCATCCCTCTGGAAGATATTTCAAGTCTTTGTACAAAGCAAGAGTCCAGTGTGAGTGTTATTTATACGCAGGTGCTTGGGAATCATTGCTGATCTTTTGCCCTGAGCTCCCACCAGCTCCTTATGGAGGGAGATACTGAGTCCAAGGAAAAGAAAATCAGAATGAATCTTCATCCCGGCCATCTTTCTGTCCTGAACCACTGCAACAGTTTCTCACCCAGTTTCCTCTTCTGTCTGGGCTGACCGTTATCTTCCTAAAATGTAAATTGGATCATGTTCATGCTGCTGCCTATCTTTTGCATTTAGAATAAAATGCAAACCCCTTACTTTGGGCTAAAAGGTATTGTTGAACCTAACCTTTGTATCTCTCTCCAACTTCATCTTGTATACTTCTTGCTCACTACACTCCAAACACACTAGTCTTTCAGTTCCTAAAATCTGGTCAAACTTTTAACCACCAAGGGCCTCTGCACCGTGGTGGGTCCCGTAGCTACTAACCCTCACTTCCCCTCTTACACCTCTTCTCACAGCTGACGCTTTCCACTTCCATAAGTTTCAACATGAAAACCTTCCCTTGGGGCGCCTGGGTAGCTCAGTCCATTAAGTGTCTTCCTTCAGCTCAGGTCATGATCCCAGTGTCCTGGGATCGAGCCCCGCGTTGGGCTCCCTGCTCTGCAGAGAGCCTGCTTCTCCCTCTCGCTCTGCCCCTGCTTGTGTGCTCGCTCTCTTGTTCACTCTCTCTCTCAAGTAAATAAAATCCTTAAAAAAAGAAAAGAAAAGAAAACCTCCCCTGACCACGTTATCTAGTGTAGGTAGTTTCCGCTCAACTCTTATTCTCTAATCACCCACTGCTCATTTCTTTCATCAATTTTTATCAAATTGGTAATTACATTCTTTACTTGTTTTTGTCTGCCTACCAATCAGAATGTAAAGTCCATGAGGGCAGGGATAGTATCTATCTTGTGCAGAATTATGGCTTTAGAACAATGCCGAGTACCTGGCACATGATGAGTAAATATTTGATGAATGAGTAAGAGACCTGGAAGTTGATCCCTAGATCAACAAGGACTACATGTGGTGAAATAGGTACCAGTTCCTCTTGATACTTTTGAAAAGGGCAGCTTTTCCTATTGCAGAAGATACTAAGATTATTATTTTAGAGGGTTTTAAAAAGAGGGTTCTATAAAATATAAATCTAACATCTGGAAATCTAATGCTGAAGATAAAACATATTAGAATATCTAGAAAAAAATTTAAATCCCCAAAATAAATATTTCCTAGTTTATGATAAGATTCGTTTACCCATACCCACCCAGCCCCACAAAGTGCTCATCTGCTCCCAGTCTCCATCTGAGTGGAGACTGGCTCCACCCTGGGTCCAAACCAGAATTCTAGATATCATCCTTGATTCTGTCTTCTTTCTTTCCTTCCACATCTATTCCTATTTTCCTTTGCTGTGTAACAAACCACTCCAAAACTTAGTGGCTTAACAATGTATTATTATCTCTAATGGTTCTGTGGTTGAATGGACTCAGATATGTGGGAATTGCTTGGGTCTACAATGCAGTTGTAGTCAACGGCTGGGCTGGAAGACTGAAGACCAGACGAGACTGGACATTCAATATGGTGCACTCCCATGGCTGGCAGCTAATGCTGGCTGGCAGCTGGGAGCTTAGCTGGGGCTGTCAACAAGATCAGCTATGTAGGTGTATCCTCTCCTCTTGGCTTGTGCTTCTCAAAGTACGGTAGTTGTGTTCCAAGAGTATAAAGTTCCAAGAAACAAGAAATGGAAGCTGCCAGGCTCTTAAGGCCTGGGCCCACAGACTGGCACAGCGTCCCTTCTGCCATATTCTGCTTGTCAGAGCAATTACAGAACACACCCAGATTCTAAAGGAGGAGCCCTAAGCCCACTCATCAATGCAAAGACCTGCCAGTGAATGTGTAGCCATCTTCACTCTGCCACAATACCCCATTATGTTCTGGCCATTCCATCTCATAAAAATCCTTCCAAACCCCCCAGAATCTCCAACCTCACTGCCTCTACACTAGTACAGACCACCATCAAGTTTTCTCCTAGATGGGTGCAAAAGCTTTCTTCATTGGCCTTCGGTTTCGGTGTCTCAAACTTGTTCTCTGTGGTATAGTCCAAGTGATCTTCATCAAAATCAAAAGTGACTGACCTGACCACGTCTTTAAAATCTTTCCTAGGCTTCCACTGCTCTTAGGATCAAGTCCAAACACAGGTTATTTCCTAAGATGAGCTT